CTGTCCTGTCACGGCCAAGGAGGCTGTCCATGAACCCTCTGTCTGCCTTGTCACGGCCAAGGAGGCCGTCCATGAACTCTCTGTCTGCCTTGTTATGGCCAAGGAGACCGTCCATGACCTCTCTGCCTGTCCTGTCACGGCCAAGGAGGCTGTCCATGAACCCTCTGTCTGCCTTGTCACGGCCAAGGAGGCCGTCCATGAACTCTCTGTCTGCCCTGTCATGGCCAAGGAGTCTGTCCATGAACTCTCTGTCTGTCCTGTCACAGCCAAAGAGGCCGTCCATGAACTCTCTGTCTGTCTTGTTACGGCCAAGGAGGCCGTCCATGAACTCGCTCTCTGTCCTGTCATGGCCAAGGAGGCTGTCCATGAACTCTCTGTCTGCCTTGTTACGGCCAAGGAGGCCGTCCATGAACTCACAGTCTGTCCTGTCATGGCCAAGGAGGCCGTCCATGAACTCTCTGTCTGTCCTGACACGGCCAATGAGGCCGTCCATGAACTCTCTGTCTGTTTTGTTACGGCCAACCATGAAATCACAGTCCGCCCTATCATGGCCAATAAAGCCGTTCATGAACTCTCTTCTTGTCTTGTTCTTGTCCTGTTACACATTAATATTGCGTCAATGTTCTCACGCTGAACAACACATAATTACTGTATTTGCATTACTGTAAGGGTAGGTTTATGGTTGGGGTAGATGTAGGTGTTAACAAAGCATAATCTGATGGGTAGCATTTTTTGTTGTCACATTGTGCTACCTACTGTTTCAATGGGAGGTAGCAAAATCTGACAGGGTAGCACAAATCGTCAGAACACCAGTTCAAAAAGTCGATGCATCGGTTCCTGACATCATCAAGCAATGATGTCACTACCTCTATGGTCACTACGCATTTCTTTTCTAACATCTCAGTGCCATGTCGTATCAATGAAACATTCAAATAAACAAATTTTTGTCAATACATATTTAAACATTCAAATAAAAAGTTATTTGTGAACGCATATGCCTATTGCTTATTATTGCCTTTCATTCACTTGTTAGTGCGGTTTGTGGTCACAGTTATGTTCACAGATCCTTTATGTCAGATACGACTGGACTGTCCAATATTGACTAGCCTACAACTTGGATAAGATTCCTAAAAGTTATCTTGCACCTACAGCAGTGGTGGCTAGTGAAATATTTTCTAGGTAGGGCACCACATCCAAAAATGTTAGCATACATCCCTGTATGATTTATCCCTTTATAACAAAAGGAGAAGTAGTACGACTTTAGACATTTTAAATAAAGATAATTGTTTTACCAAGGTAAAGATTGAGGATAATTCCCACAAAACTATATTTTCTGCAAGCGTTTTTCAATATAAATTAAAACATTTAGTTTTCATAATTCACAATTTATGTATACAGTGGAACAGCAAATACTGTTAGGAATTTTTTTTACATTTGTTTAGAGAGCATTTTCTATACATACAGTATATAAATAACTAAAAGTCAAGCTGCAATACCAAACACGACCACACGAAGATGCCAACAGACCACTATACCAGTCGCCTTAACTTGACTGTACTTGTACTGTATACAGTTATGGCCAAAAGTTTTGGCAGTGACATAAATTGTGTGTTTTGCAAAGTTTGCTGCTTCAGTATTTGTAGATTATTTTTCCACATGTTTCTATGGTATACTGAAAAACAATGATAAGCATATAAGTTTTAAAGGCTTTTATTGGCAAAAAAAATGACTCAATATTTACAATGTTGACCCTTGTTCTTCATAATCTTTGCAACTCACTCTGGCATGTTGGATATTAGCTTCTGGGCCAAATCCTGACTGATGGCGATCTATTCTTGCCTTACTGGGTTTCGGAGTTGATCAAAATTTGTGGGCTTCTGCTTGTCCACTCGACTTTTGAGGATTGACCTCAGGTTCTCTATGGGATTGATATCCGGGAGTTGCCTGGCCATGGATTCAAAATTTCAATGTAATGATCTTTGAGTCACTTATTTATGACTCTTGCTTTGTGACATGGTGCTCCATCATGCTGGAAAATGCACGGATCATCACCAAATTGCTCATGGATCACTGAAAGAAGTCGCTCTTGCAGGACGTTTTGATACCATTCTTTAATCATGGCAGAGTTTTTGGGCAGAATTATGTGAGAGCCCACTCCCTTGCTTAAAAAGCAACCCCACACAAGGATGGTCTCAGGATGCTTCACTGTTGGCACAACGCAGGACTCATGGTAGCGTTCACCTTTTCTTCTCCAAAGAATCGATTTTCCAGATGTCCCAAACAGTCAGAAGAGAGCTTCATCAGAGAAAATATCTTTGCACCAGTCTTCTGCTGTCCAATCCTTGTACTTCCTGCAGAATTTCAGTCTGTCCTTGACATTTTTCTTGGAGAGAAGTGGCTTCTTTGCTGCTCTTCTTGACACCAGGCCATTGTCCAAAAGTCGTCGCCTCACTGTGCGTGCAGATGCTCTCACACCAACCTGCTGCCATTCCTGAGCAAGCTTTGCACTGATGGTGGCATGATTCCTCAGGAGACGACGGTCCTGGCGCTTGCTGGACAATCTGGGACGTTCTGAAGGCTTCTTCACTGCAGTCAAACCTCTCTTCTTAAAGTTCTTAATGATCCGGTAAATGTTTCTTTTAAGGTGCAACATTCTTTGTAGCAATTTCCTTGCATGTGAGGCCATTTTGATGCACCGCGATGATGGCTGCACGTATTTCTTTAGAGGTAAACATTGCTAACAAGAACATAATGATTGGAAACGATTCTTCCCTCCTTTTATAGCAATCAGTCTGTTCTTACAATCTAATTAGTATGATAGTGATTTCACCTGACTAGCACTCATTCACACTTTCACATGTGCTGCTGATATGATTAGTCAATTAATGTTAGCTGGTCATTTTGTGTCAGAATAAAAAAAACTTTTTTGGTGAAAAGTTCATTTTTTGGCCAATGAAGCTTTTAGCAATTATTTTAAATGAATCTGATCACTCTACATGATAATCTAGAAACAATGTGAATGAACACCACAACAGCTTAAGCAGAAAACTTTGCAAAACACAAAATTTGTCACTGCCAAAACTTTTGGCCATGACTATATAGATATATACCGATCCATTCAGAAATATTAAACAGAGCAAAACACAAAATTTAAAAAGTAAATTACTTTTTAAAAGTAAAAAGTAAAAACATTCTGAATTTGTTGAATATGATATATGAAGGCAGCTCGACCAGTAAACAGTTGCTCTGTCAGTGTGAGTGTTCATGCCCATATGTATAAAAACACCATTGACCATCACAAACTCCTATAATAACATGCTTCTTCAGCGAGTGTCCATTATAAAACACTTGCCAGACATGTGACCATACTGAAATGTGCTCGTGCAAAAAGCAAAAAATCGGAAAGCGCACATACACGGTCT